CTATTTTCCTTTTTTAATGATAATAAATCATTTTAAAAGTTTTGTTAAATGCATATATAGTACATTTGTACAGTTGTGTTAATGAAAATAGTGGCACAGGGTATATTCAAAGATCTTTTCTAACATATGTACATATGTATACGAACTTGTGCAAGTCAACAAGCCTTATTAATATATTTTGGTAGAGTTGATAGAATAGAAATAGATATTTTTCAAGAGTCCAGAAAGAATGTCCGACCACTACCAAACACAATTTATCACTCCAGGTACACAACCAAAACTTTTAAACAAGATCTGAGCGTAATGATATAGGCTTGCTTTTCGTAGGGTCGATCCTACACATTTGATCTTTGACTTCATGGAACCATCTTAACTTACAATTTTCTACTTTAAAAAGGTATAAGAATTACGTTGGAGCAGGATAATGACCCAACACACGCGACCAAACTATCCTAGGAGTGGTTTGCATCAGAAAAGATCAAAGTAATGTCCTGGGCAATCTAAATCTAATCGAAAATTTATGGAAAGGTGTTAGAACACAAATTTGGCCAGTGGTCAAGGAGACATGGGAGGAAATAAGTAAGGAAAGCACAGGAAACCGAAGAAGCAAGAAACTCCTGAGTGCAAAAAATGTTAAGAAATGGGCCTGTAACTGCTTTCTAAGAAGTTTTAGGCACATATCTCTAAAACCACTTAACATACAATATAGAAATTTGCTAAGTTCAAATCCCTTAAGCACCCCTACCGGTACCGTAAAAATAAATGAAATCGGTTGATAACCCCGTCCAGTCTCCATATAACGGTTTTGTTTAAAACTCCAAAAAGCGCGACAAATCAATAAATAAATAAGCCCGAGACAAAATAAGACGACGGGCGTGGCACCGACCACATTTACGTGAAAACCCATATCTCAGGACCTACTGGACCGATATCGACCAAATTTGGTATGTTATGTAGTATTATGTTCCAGTGTGAAAATGAGCGAAATCAGACTGTCTCTACAACACATTTTTAAATTCCATCTACTTCCACTATGTAAATCCAACAAAAGCGCTTAAAGTAGGCTACCTTATTGAAATTTGTTTGTATTCAAGATAAGAAATCCTAAGATACCGATCATGTGGACCCCACTTCTTACTGCGAACAGTAAGCCTGTACGTAAAAAATAAATCGGATGAGGCTTCTCTTAGCCGCATTATACCTTATAAAAAGGTTGACTTTACTCCTTGTATCATTAGCTCCAATCTCACATTATTTTCGTTTTTCCAACATGTCTTATGACGAATATGTCGTCCAGTGCATCAGTTATCCATGTTAATGTATAAAGTTCTAGTGCCAAAGTATTCGTTGCCAAACTCCTTCGAAACGGCTAGTCCAATCTTGATGAATTTTGGTGTGCTTATGGAGTAAAAGGTATCTGAAATAATAACCCAAGATCGGAATTAAATACAGGGTATCCCAAAATTAACGCAAGATTTAAATTTGCCGCCATTTATGCAGTAAAGTGTTAACACTCCAAAAACAAAGAACATATCGATAGCTGACAGTTTAGGCTTAGTAAAAGTGCGGTGTTGCACGATAGAACAATGTGTCTTCATTACTGCACAATATACAAATTCCAACAACAAATGTATGCTGACTTTCGAGCAAAATCATCCTAAGCGCTGAAGCATATTTTCACCTTAATGGGTTTGCTAATTGCCAAAATTGTTCCTTTTTCGGTTCTGAGAACCCATATGTAATTATCGAAAAACAGATGCATCCACAACGAGTCACTGTTTGGTAAAGATTTTGAGCTGGAGACCAATAATTAGACCATACTTTTTTTTTTAAATGAGACTGATGAAGAATATATTGTTACTAATGCTCGATATCGGGACATTATAACCCAGTTACAAGATATTGAGTGGCCAATACGTGGTTTCAACAATACGTTGCTCCATGTCATACCTTCTGTGAAACAGGTTTATTGCAACCAGCCCACAACACTTTGGGCTTTAAAGGAGGAGATTCAACTTCGGCCACATTCATGCAAACTAGTCATGGAAATTTTGGACAAACGAGATGTACGGAAAGCCGTGGAGGCAATATGGCCGACGTGTTTTTCCATAATAACTACAGTTTCTTACTTGTCATCTTATTTTTTTCTCATCTTTGACGGAACCACCCGTATAACATTAAGAAGCACTGCGCACAGAACATATTAGGTTGCAAAATATCTCCCTTCCGCTTTTTTGTCTTTTGAATTTCGCGGCTATGTATAAAGCGCTACAGAGCTCGTATCTGGCAATACTTATATCTTTGAAAGGTCTTGTCATAACGTTCAACAGTTATAGACGCGTAAACATAAAGTTCACTAACGCCGAAATTCGAGTTATTTTAAAGTTTTTCTTACTTAAAGGCAAATCCGCTGGAGGAATGGGTATTATAAAGTTGCTGTCTAGATGGAAATAGATTATCGAACGAAATGGCGCATATTTCAACTAAATTCGGCCACTGTAACACTTTTTATAAAGAGCATTAGACTAGTGCAAAAGCCTTTGAAAATAAAAAAAAAAAATGAATTCATAGTAGGATGAAACCCATCGGAAGCGAAACCTTAAAGAAAAAATAATTTTCGGGCAATCTGAGGTCGAGAAAAGGAAAGTTAGGGGCGTGGTTGAATTTTTAAGCGTTAAGAATGGTTTATCTCAATTTCCACCCATATTGCCTCTCATATAGAAAAAATGTATATGGCAATATTGTAGGTAATAAAAAAGTCTATAACTTTTGTATATAGATTTTTGCAAATATTGCACACTTTTGTTTTAATTTTGCATCACATTTCGGAGAATAACAACATGGAGCAAAAAGGCAAAGAGATTGCAGTTGGAAAGCGAAAAATTATTCGAAGACATTTCATAGAGGGAAAATTTTATAGAGAAATTGGTAATATAGTTAGAAGAGCCCTCTTCGCTATCCAAAAGTATTAAACAAGTATGAGGCCAAAGGCTTACCGCCCGCCGTTGCTAACAGATCTCGAGTAGAAAACCATTATTAAGCCCATTCGGCTTAATCCAAGACTGACAGCTCACTCAGTACAGCACCAGATCCTATAGAACTTTTCCAATCCTCGTATTATAAAAACCATAGCAGAGTCGTGCGTAAGAAACCCATGATTGCAGAAATCAATAAGAAAAAGCGCCTATGCTAATGAGTCATCTCAAAGCGGGAGACTTCTGGAACCACGTTCTATGCTATAAATATTCGTATAATTTCTGGGTGCTTGGAATCAATAGATAAGTTTTCGTATGAAGGAAAAACAGAGAAAAATGAAAATCTCGTTGGCACGGTAAAACATGGAGGAAGCGGTATAATGATGTGGAGGTATAACGCAGCAAGTGTCGTAGAAAACCTGACTTTTATGGATCAGAGTGGATACATAAACTTTTTAAAGTCAATTTGGCTGAAAGTCCTGAGAAATGGGAACTTAAAGATAAATTTTGATTGCAGCATGATAATGATCCACACCAAGTTCTAATAATTTATGGCACGCTCATTTGCTTTAAAATATGTATATCAAAAGTAAATACAATAGTTGTAGGATATATTTATTATTTTATCATATTACCACTCCTTCTGTTTCATTATTAAGAAATAACTTATGTCCAAGTGCGCTAAAATTGAGCTTAATAGTATCTATTTCCACAGCATAACAACCCAAAACACAAGTCGTATCTTAGGCGAAAAATAATAACAATTTTTAATTTGAATTTCCTGCGAAAACAAATTCGTCGAAATATTTTTTCCAGATTCGTATGACTGTCAGTGACGTCTGTGTCAAATGTCACATCAAAATAATCATTAGTATTTAGTATAGGTTTGTCTTTCTGTAGTAGTTTCGGCGATTTTTACGAAGAGTGAAATTATTCAACATAGGACTTCCATTAAATATTGTGATTGGTACAAATTATACAAAGAGGGTCGAGAACCCTTTGACGAGTTACCACGTTCAGGACGGCCATGAACATCAACTGATGAAAGCACAATTAGTTTCGGAATCACTAATTTTTTTTTTCGAAAAACAGCGCCACGTTAACGATTGTGAAACAATGCCATTCAAGTACCAGGATGTCATGATGAAACGTACTATTACTGGCGATAATTCTTTGATCTGTGCGTACAAACCGGAAACAGACGGTCAATCGGCCGAATATTGTGGCAAAGGCGAGCCGAAGCCGAAAAAACACGTCAAAGCAGGTCAGAAATTAAGGTTATGTTGACACTTTTCTGCGATTATCGAGGTGTGGTGCACTCCGAATTCCTTCCGACCCGCCAAACTAGCAAAAAGACATACTATTTGAATGTTAATCGTCGTTTGCGCGAAGCTGGTCGGATTATAGGCCGACAACTCATGGTTTTTGCACCACAATAATGCACCGTCACAAACAATCAATTGCCGTAACCATCAGCAAACTTAAACGACCGCTCTGTTTTGAGATTTTCAGAACGATCGATTTTATAGAAAAATATCGATCCGCTCTAAAGTACATACATATACTTGTATAAGTAAATATGGCTCAAGTTCATTGACGCCAGAAAATATTTAAAATAATGCACCGCAATCATAATATTGAGTTAATAACTCAATTCCGTAAAATAAGATGATTTGCGTCAATCATTTGTGCGCAGTTTTATTTTTCTGTTTAACGGTACAGCCACAGACATGTATTTGTACCCCCTCTTATCGATTGTGAGAATTGAGCAAAAAAAATTTTAAATTTTGTTTTTAATTACATGGATATAAATATAGACCCCTATATTTATATAACTACTGCATTACATGATATTGATTTTGTATTTGATTTAGTTTATAATATTATACATTTAATTATTTCCTAAAGTTTCATAGTTTGTAATGCAACGATATTGTCTTCTAGTCAGAATTCCCATGCGAACTATAACCTTATAAAAGTAAATAAGCTGATAAAGCATTGTTTTTATTTTATGTATTTTTTCAGGTAGCATGACATCTGACTTTTTTCGTGTAGTTAACGAAGCCCGGCGTTATTCTCTCGGACCTTTTAGCCCTTCATTCAATATACAGACCTGTCTATTTGAGGGTTTACAAAAGCATTTGCCTGAAGATGCGCACAAACGTGTTAGTGGGCGTTTGCATATCTCCTTAACACGAGTGCATGATGGCAAAAATGTCATCGTTTCTGAATTTGAGTCACGGGACGAGCTCTTGCAGGCTCTATTGTGTGCATGCTTTATTCCGGGCTTTTCTGGCATATTCCCGCCTCGGTTTCGAGGAGTACGGTATATGGATGGAGCGTTTTCAGACAATTTACCAATATTAGATGAGAACACAATAACCGTGAGTCCTTTCTGCGGAGAAAGCGATATTTGTCCGCGTGATCAAAGTTCACAACTTTTCCATTTGAATTGGGCTAATACGAGTATAGAAATATCACGACAGAATGTTAATCGCTTTGTTCGTATACTTTTTCCACCACGTCCAGAATTTCTTTCGAAATTCTGTCAGCAGGGTTTTGACGATGCGATGCAGTTCCTTAACCGTAATAATTTAATAAACTGTCGCCGTTGTGTGGCAGTACAATCAACGTTCGTAGTATCAGAAACCGTGGCACAGCCACAGGACTTTGATCCTGAGTGTAGAGAATGTAAAAAGCATAGAAATGTGAGTATATCACTATCTTACAATTATATGGAGATTGTATTTCATTTTATAACTGTGTACATGTCATTTTAGGATGCTTTAAGCTCAAACATGCCACAAACTGTATTGGATGTAATTCAGGATTATATAGAGCAAGCTAATAAAGGACTGGCGAATTGGATATTCAGACATCGTGGAATAAAATTGTTGTCATTACCTGCAACAGTGCCATTAGACTTCTTCATGGCAACAATGTCAAAGTAAGTTATTCACTGCTCCTTGTATATGTAAATACGTATATTTGTTTTAAGTAATTTTTTTTTTACACAAGCTCGTTGAATTTATGATTACGATTACAATAATCAAAATAATATATACATAAGAATAAAAAATTCATATTCGAAATAGCATTACGGTTATGGCGCTCAGTAATAATACAACTTGATAGGCGGAATTTCTAATTGTTACGCTTTAGACCATGTTAAAAGACATTTAATCATAAAACAAGTAAGCAAGTAATTATTAAATAAATTAAGATATCGTAATGAAAGAAAATTAGCAAAAAATGGAAAACGTCGTTAAATGAAAACTTATAAAGTGACTGTGATCAAATTGAGAGGTGAATTTTATCCATTTCATTTCCTTCAAAGTAATCCCCTCCCGCTGCAATACACTTATGCCAGCAAATTTTCCACTCATCATAATACTTGGAAAAATCCTCAGAGCTTTCTTCGATTCATCTTTTATATCCTCAATTGAGTCAAAACGGAGCTCTCGGAGTGGTCATGTGAATTTGCTGAATAGCCAGAAGGTAAATGCGGTGGCTGCGGCACAATACTAGTTGAAAATGTGTCGAAATGATCACGAATAACCAATGCAGTACGCACTTCTTTACAAAATATCCATGTAAATTATATCTTTACCATATTGTTCTAGAATATACAGTCCCAGAGTAGCACTATATGAGGACTATTGTAAATTCCCCTTTAAAGGCGTTTTGTGGGTGCGGAAGTAGTCCTCCCTTGGGTACCTCATTACCTTGTTATATAAACAGACCGATTGTTATACTCTGTAGCAACATGATGCGAAAGTATGCAAATATTCGCTGCACCATTATGAACATTTGCATTTAAACTTTTAATATTTTTATACTTCAAAAATAATATATGTAATTATTATTTTTTAATTTTGTATTTGGTCATTTAATTCTAGAACAGTGAAGCAGCTTCCAAAGCCATTTGGGAAGACATTTACAAGCGCTTAACATATAGTAAAAGTTGCACGAGTAAAATGTAGTAAAATTGTTTACTTATAAACTAGTTAATTGCAAGTAAATTTATCATATACATATTATACTTTAATAAACGAAAATATCGAAAACAATTACAGATGTGCAATATTTACATAGTTTAATTACAGAGCAACATAAACGAAAAATGTAAAGTTATTTCTATTATTTGAGCATTTCCTTTATTTCTTTAATTGATTTTTTTATTCGTATTAGTTCAATAAAAATGTGAGTAATTAGTAATTAACATTTTTGAACTATCTTGGTTAGATTACTTCCACTTCATACTTTTATTTGCCGTTTCTAATATAACTAATTTAATCACGTTTATTGAAACTAAATTGAAAATATGTATATATGTATCTTGTTTGCATTTATGATATCTGAGAATTAAGGATAAGATATTAAGTGACGAGTTATCATAAAAATTATACATCTGCGGACATTGATTTGAGCTCTAGATAGATTTGCCAAAGATCGTTCTAAAATTAAATAATAAAATACGTTCAAGTGCTGCAAAGTTGTGCAAGGGTGTAAAACCATGAAATTTTGCTAAAGAAGATGTATAACAGAAATGTAAGTTACAGAAACCGTTATATAAATTTTATTGGCTTACCAAATTGGCTTGGAAACTTCACTTCTGCTTAACTATTCTTTCCAATTATTTGAATTTTCGTAAACTGCAAGAGCAAAATAAAATAACTAATAAATTGTTAATTCAAAATTTATCAACCATATCTATTTGGTTTCCACTATTTATGCACTCTATACTTTTATCTCCGCTTCATAGGATAACTACACTCACACCAAAATTAGGCAAACACATTCGCGGCAGGATAGAAAATATTTTGAGAAAATTAATTGAAACTGCACAAACCCACATTATAAGCAAATTCACAGTAAGTTAAATTTGTTATTAATTTCTACTAGGGTAACATCACTTAAATTATTTTTTTCCTATAAATAGATCTGTGAACCGCCACACTTTGATACGACAGGTTTACTACATTCGAAGCGTCTATACGGACCACGGGTATCAATATTAGTTGATGAATGGTAAGTTTTTCAAAAACATATTTATCTATCTATATATATAACAAGTAACAAAGGACTAAGTTCGGGTTTAACCGAACTTTTCACCCTTAAGGTGTTGGCAAAACTTCATATTAAAAAATTTTGGGAAAGCATTCAATATTCAATGTCAAAGAGATATATCTGACTTAAATGTGATTTTGATGTACACTGCGGGATAAGAGATTTGAAAATCCTCTATTATCTATCTTTAGCATTACTACATATTACTACTAGGATAAGATGCCACCTGAGTTTAGTGAGGTACCTCACAGACGTTTAACAATATATAAGGAGCAAAATCAACTGGATGTTTGAAAACACTGATGTTAGTTATATGAGTTATAGGCTAGAGCAAAGAGCAAATTTTCAAGCGATTTTAACCATTTTAGGCACAAAGGTGCAATATTAATTAAGATCATAATGACCGATATATGGGGTATAAAGTCAAACGGAAGTTCGAAAGTCCTTATATTATATTAGGTATATGGAACTTAAATAAATATTCATCCGATTTTCCTCGTTTTTGACACACAAACATACTATTCTCTCTCTCTAATTTCAATAATATATCTCACTCTGAGGTCCACATTTCCAGAATTGTGGGCTAGAATAGTTATGGTCCGATTTTGACAATTTTAAACCTAAGATAGCCATATACCATGAAGGAAATATTCGTACAAATGTGTATCTCGATATATTAATGGGTAATTGATTTACATGGATGGAGTCATGTGTAGAAGTTCACGCAAGTGAGGAAAGTTCTCTGATCGCCATTCACTTGGGGATGGTCAGAAACGATTCTTTTACATATGGCTCAAGCAGCTCACGACTTCCGGTCTTTGACCAAGTATCCTCTGGGTAGCCTAAGAACATCCGTTTCAAGGCGAGCTAAAGTGAGAAGGCGAAACATCCACTGCATAGGGTTGTGAGCTGGGTTTGGGACCCGTCACGTAAAGAAACACCCTAATGAAAAAGCAGTTGATTTACATACTGGAAAGTGAAAATATCTATTAGTAATTATAATATAGTTACATTAACAAAACCGTTATATGCGGAGTGGACGTGGCTATCATCCGATTTCAACTTTTTTCACGATGTCAGCATGATTTGCTCTGTGCATATACATGTGGGTGATATAGCTCAAGGTTTGAGAAATATATATATCAAATTATATTAGGTGCGGAGCCACACAAACCTTTTAAAAATATTCAAACCACAGTTTTCGTTACATCAATTTACAGTTTTTTATCTTAATCAGCTGGTTATGGTAATTAGAGGTTTTCGATTAATGCCCTTTTGTGGACGTGACTATCTGATTCTCACTCTAGATGCAGGAACAGGAATATGTTTCATAACAAACAGTCACTCGGAATTCAACTCGCGTTATGCATATATAAAACAAAATATAAATAATAATAACAAATGGTTTTTGTAAACAAAAAGGAAAAGTTAAAACGTTTTGTCGTCGAAAATGTCTTCGGAAATATTCTTAAAGTACCCATTTTAACTGAGATGTATAATAGAGAATAGGTCCTGTTACAGCAAGCAAGTAATTTAATTTAAGTTTAAGTTTTTAAAATACAATCTCCTGGATTCCGGTACTGTCAACAAAGCGTTCGTCTTTATTTGTAAATAATATCTACATGGTATTGAATAGTTATTCGAATAGTTATAGTATACATAATCACAGCAAACGGGTGGTCAGATCTACCAATTGTATTATTTATACTCGTAAGTTTTGACAGTAATAGTGAAAATTTTCAGAAGACCCTTTATCATAAAGTATAAAATTCTTTTTCTTTTTAAGTTTATTCCGTATGAAGCTAATGAAGCTACAATTTTAATAATTTTAAGTTGCTGTATAAACTGTTTTTTTAGTGTTTTTTAGTTTAGTGTATAACAAAGTTATGAATTTTTTCCAGTGGTGCTCCTTCAATAGAAGGAGATGTGGACAACTATGAACATGTTCTCAAAGTAACTACCCATAACGATGCGCTTTATGCTTATTACTATACCGACGATCTTACAAATAAAGTAAGCAATTTTCTAAAAATATTACAGTATGCAAGTTTCTTTAAAATATCTATCCTACAGGTCAAAGTTACGGAAATCTTTGAAATTGACGAAGAAGAAAAACTTGCGGTTGATCCGAAACTATTCGAAGGCATTGTTGAAGATCATCCAAACCCTCGTCAGCATCACCATAATGTTGTTAGTGAATGGAACGGAGTAGAGTCTGGTAAGAGCAACAAATAGTGTACATTTATCCTATATCTGAAGTTCATTAACAACGTATAAAATGGCAAAACGCTCATAAAAAATAGGTTAACTTAATATTTCCTTCAACATTATTTATATCATTATGAATTTCAGTTTTTATCTTATATGGAAATTCAGATGGAATTTTTTACAAATTATGCAAATGTCATATTCCCGAAATCAGTTTCATCGCTTATAATATAAGATTACTTCATTTGCATTTTTTCTTTTACAGTACAAGTTATACCCAGCATACCACAAAGTCGTGAAGATATTTTTTAAAAGAAATGATTACGATACCAAAACTATTAAAGTTACGCTGACAATATATTGATCAAACATATTGTTTACAGTATTAGATAATACATGATGGACAGAGATAAATTGGCTACCAAATGACAGATTTTGCTAAAAGCTGAAACGTTTGTATTTTCTTTGAACTTTAAGTTGTTTTGTTATCGTTTTTAATTGGTACTAACTGTTTGCATTTGTAGAAAGTATATAATCATTATTAGTTATGTTGATAACTGAAGTATATATCTTTTCACTCAGTTTGTCTTTATCGTCTATCATCTTTCTAATTAAATTGCGAAATACTATTGTTGTAAATCAGCTACTTTACTGACTTACGAGTATATTAGTACCTAAGGCCTAAAATCTAGTGCATCTGATCGTTTTTCCATACCCAATGTGTGAGGCACTTGAAGAAACTTGTAATATTTATGAACAAAATAGAATATGGATTAATGTATATATGTCATTTAAATTTAAACGTAGAAAGGTTTTGTGGGAAATATGTATGAAACAAGCTCATTTTTAACAAGTAAGGAAAGGCTAAGTTCGGCCTTAACCGAACATTTTATATTGTTGCAACTTGCCAGGTTCATTCGGTTTGCGTGTGTGCGCAACAATTTTTAGACTCAAAATGGCGTACCTCAAAGAAATTATTTGTGCAAAGTTTTATCGTAATATATTCATTAATGTACTGTAAAGCGAAAGAAATGTGGAATTTAAAATTGTGATATATGGAAAGTAGGCGTGGTTGTAGTCTGATTGCGATCCGATTTCTTCCATTTTCACATTGTTAGGAGAGGTTTTTATAGGAATTTTCCAAAGCGAATGGTTTGCGTGTGTGTTTGTGTTTTATGAATAGTGTATACATATATAATCCTCTAATTCGATTATTTTTAGATGATACAAGCAACAAATATTATATTAAAGACGTTGTTTTCCTTTTTATTTCGGGAAAAACAAATTTTTAATTAACGAATATTGCTTTATTGTTTTTCAAAATACCTTTGCATGCTTTTGAACTAATTGTCGAAGCAATTTTTCCACCCTGATTTAGATGTCCCCCAAACATCCATACTGAACGCACCCATTTCCTCTTCAGTTGTCGTTGACCTCCTAGTTTAATTTTTTCGTACGGGAATAAAGAGAAGTCATTCGATGCTAAGTCAGGAATATACGTCGATTTTTTAATAGCGCAAAAATGCAATCGATGTGTGTGTCATGGGGAGAAGTGATCTGTTTGCGGTTGTTGGTTTTCCTGATATCTTTAATGACAAGTTGACAAACAAATTGTTCTATACCACTCAGAATTTATTGGAAACAATTTTTGTTCTATTCAGCTCATCTTGAAATATCCATACAGTCGTCTGCTATTTACTTTCGGGCTCTTCGATGCCATAGTCGTGTTTCGAAGAACCGTTGTATTTTTTTAACATTTCTCTCGACCAATCGATACGATCCTGTTTTTAAGTGATTAACAAGTATTGTGGAGTCCACCGTGAACAAATATTTTTACAGTCAAACATTCATGCCATATTGAATGTATGCTAGTCCCACTAAAGTCAATAATTGTCTAAATCTCACCATAGGTCACAAGTAGGTCAATAGTTTCCGAAAAAACAACTGATTTTGAACGACCATCTTGGAATTTGTTTTTGAGTGATCTAAGATCACGATTGACCATCACCACACTATCGATAAACACTGGTCCTTGATAGAGCTTCATCGTCAAAAATAGAATTATGTACATCTATGCACTCTCGATGAGTTAATTCACGTCGAAAGTTGTAAAAAATAAACCGGCGAAAATGTTCGCCATTTAATTCCATTTTTTGGTAGAGAAGAATATTACTGGTATGTCAAAACGTTCTGATTATGCATAACATTTAAAGTGTAAAATTTTACGATCAAAATGTGAGGTTCCAGAGAAACGGTTTGAAAAATGGAAACAAATATATATGCAAGTACTTAGTTTTGTGCTTCTACGAGATATCCATAGAAACCTACACACATTGGGTATAGCTCGAATGAACCAGTTTGCTTCTATTTTGTTTAAACACTTAGTATATTTGCCCATTCCATTCATTAAGTAGAATTAGTTTGTAGAATTGATCTGTATATTTCGCACATAACTCATAACGAATTCATAAACAATCATTCAGTTCGCAAAACTATACATTTATATATCTACAATTGTATATTATTATTTCCATAGCCTTTTATATTGATGAATATGCGTCCAACCAACGGCCTTTCGAACGAGACATTAAACGAAAAACTCATATAAGCACTGACACTGGATACCAGAATGAAGACGAATATGCGATCATTAACGAAAATGGCATTCCCAAAGAAACCGAATATGAGGTATTCAGCGACCCAGAAGTTGATCACTACTTTGGCATTAAACAGCAAAGAAATAATAGAGATGAAAAAAGGGACTTCTCCAATGCTAATATATTTACATAATAAATTTGTGGAAACTCCCTTTTTGGAAACGGAAAATTTCAAATCCTATAATTTGAAAATTGGATCGTTAATATATTTTAATTTATCATAAATAATACTGCTAAATATAGGATTTGTATGTGAGTAAGTATTATAACTCCTTAATTTACCGTTTTTTATTTATTAATTTCGAAACAATATAGTAGACTGTCGAAAATCATTAATGTACAGTATTCGTTTTGTATTTTTATTTAATAATAGGTGAAGGTGCGCACGTACGAGCAACTATCGGGACCTGATAATTTATAATTACTTGCGGATATTTGACACAATATTACCTCGATGATTAATAATCGAAACAGTTTAACACTTTGCATTAATTGCTTTGAAAGTTTACTATTATTTTGCTATTTTGGGGAGACGACCGACCAACATGATTTTAAATATGAATGGTTAAGAAAATGTAATAGCAGTTAATAAATTAGCTTATTATCTCAAATTCGATGTATTCAATCTAGCAAACATAAGGGCGATTGCCTATTGACTATATGTATACTCTTTATATTGAGTATTAATCTTTCGATGTTACATTTGATCAGATTATTTAACTATCTATAATTTCAAAAATTAAGTGTAATTTGTTTTTAAATTAAGTACTCGAGATATATAAATTATTTTAAGAAAATGTCAAAAATATTATAAAAGGTACATTTCAGTTTTCTAAAAAACATATATATTTATTTATAGCAACGAGGTAAAATTTATCGCTGTCCTATACATTTAAGAGAATTAAAAATATAAAGTCTATATACTCCAATTTTTTTTATTATTATTATATATTTCTGTTAGAGTTGGAAATAATTCCGAAAGAGCATGTAATTACTGTTGATCCCCTAGCATAATTCAACCCGGTTTGTTGGTTCCCCGCAGAATTGGTTAAAAATATGTGTTATTGCAACAAAATTTACTTTTAATTTCCCCCGGTTAATTATTTTAGGTAAAAACAAGAAAAGCGTTAACTTCAGTTGCACTGAAGCTAATATACCCTTCACAGATGCATTTCTTTTAGTAACTATGTGTTCAGTTTGTACGGCAGCTATATGCAATAGTTAACCGATCTGAACAATTTCTTCCTATTACATTGTTTCTATGAACAATAACTCATCCCAAATTTCATGAAGATATATCGACAAATAAGGAAGTTTCCCATGCAAGCATTTGATTCCGATCATTTGTATGGCAGCTATATGCTATAGTTAACCGATCTAAACAATTTGTTCGGAGATTACATTGTTGTCTTAAAAAATGATCTATACCAAATTTTGTGAATATATCTTGTCAAATGCAAAAGTTTTCCCTACCAGTACTAGATTCCTATCGTTCAGTTTGTATAGCAGCTATATGCTATAGTAAGCCGATCTGAACAATTTCTCCGTATATTACATTATTATCTTAGAAAACAACCTGTGCCAACTTTTGTGAAGATACATTGTCAAATAGATTTTCCATACAAGAACTTGATTCTGATCGTTCAGTTTGTATGGCAGCTATATATTATAGCAGCTTCTTAAAGAGAAAATAACGTTTACAAAATTTCAGAACGATATCATAAAAACTGAAGGACTAGTTCCTATATATACAGAGAGACGGACAGACAGACAGACGGACATGACTAAATGGACTCAGCTCAACATACTGATCATTTACAGCTGCGAGCAGTGAAATAGTAGTGGATGTTAGAGTTTTACATACCTGTGAGTTATGCGAAATTCTAAACAATTTTAACATCAATTGAAATGGAAAAGTTTATCATATTTCCCTGGCTACGTTTATTAATAAAAAATATTTTAATTTGAATGGGTGTAAGATATATTTATTCAAAAAGTTGTGTTTATATATGAAATTTGATGGGAGCAGTAAAATAGTAGTTGTATAGTTGTTGGCGTATGCCGATGATATTGATATCATCGGCCTCACACCCGCGCCGTTAGTTCTGCTTTCTCCAGACTGGACAAGGAAGCAACACAAATGGGTCTGGCAGTGAACGAGGGCAACACGAAATATCTCCTGTCATCAAACAAACAGYYGTCGCACTCGCGACTTGGCTCTCACGCCACTGTTGACAGTCATAGCTTTGAAGTTGTAGATAATTTCGTCTATCTCGGAACCAGCGTAAACACCACCCACAATGTCAGCCTAGAAATCCAACGCAGGATAACTCTTGCCAA